TAACTTTAGTCAATTCAGTCAAAAAGATAAATCTAATTTTATATATTTTGATAGTTATCCAAATCAACATGGAGAATGGAAAGTTACATGTTTGTAAAAAGGTTGTTTGATAAGATAGATAAGCTGAAAAGAGAGGTTGTCAAACAGGCTTTTAAATTTGTATAAACAGGTTACTTTTGATTCTTCAAGCTTAATTGTGTAATAATCAAAATATATATAAAATGTTAGATTTACTTTTTTTTTACTTAATTGACTAAAGTTATTGTAGAATATCATATTATCTATTTTATACTATGTATAATTTTTCTTTCATCTATATAGTTTTTAGTACATCTATTATTCCATAATTCAGTGAGAAGAATTGAAAATTATGTGTTTATTAAAAATTTGACAGTTAAACAAATAAGCTAAAAACACAAATTATCACGTGTGCACTTAACTTTTTTCTAGGATTGCCCTATGTGCAAGTTAATACAACCGACTAATAAAATGATTTAGTTTTAGTTATACTATATATTTGTGCGCGCAGCGACATATGTATGAGTTAATATAACCAACAGAAAATCACCCATTTAGTCGATTATAACATTGGTTGATAATGCATATTTTTATTTGTTAAGTATGTCTTATTTTTTGACTAATTATGTAAACATGTTCTGAGTATATGTTTTCCAATTAAAAGAGTCAATTTTTTATAACTCTAAGTTGCATCCAAATGAACTTCGTCTTTTCAAACCTCTATCTAACCAAAAAGAAAAGAAATTACTCAATGCTTATTTTTATCCCTTAGGACATGTTTACTTCACCGGTTATTAAACGGTGCTTATTAAGACCCGTGTTAATAAGCGGCACATAAAATAAACAATGTTGTAAGACCGTGTTTACTTCAAACGGTTTAAAACACCGCTTAACATTAAAATGTCCAAAATAATCCTATACATATATACACACACAAACATTCATGAACACAAGTATATAATATAATATGTTTACCCATACCCCTAACCCCTTACCCACCCCACCGCCTACCCCTACCCCCACCCTACCTACCTGACCCCACCCTACCTACCCGACCCCACCCTAACCTGTCCCCACCCTAACCTGTCCCCACCCTACCCTACCCCCGACCCCATAGGCCCCTACCCCCATAGGCCCGTAGGGGTAGGGGTAAGGTGGGGTCGGGTAGGGGTAGGGTAGGTGGGGTAAGGGTAGGGGTAGGGTAGGTGGGGTAAGGGTAGGGGTAGGGGTGGGGTGGGGTCGGGGTAGTGGGGTAAGGGTAGGGTGGGGGTCGGTTAGGTAGGGTAGGGGTGGGGTAGGTAGGGTGGGGTCGGGGTGGGGTCAGGGTAGGTGGGGGTCGGGTAGGTGGGGTCAGGGTGGGGTAGGGTAGGTGGGGTAAGGGTAGGGGTGGGGTCGGGGTAGGTGGGGTAAGGGTAGGGTGGGGGTCGGTTAGGTAGGGTAGGGGTGGGGTCGGGGTGGGGTAGGGTGGGGTCGAGTTAGGGTGGGGTCAGGGTAGGTGGGGTAAGGGTAGGGTGGGGGTCGGTTAGGTAGGGTAGGGGTGGGGTAGGTAGGGTGGGGTCGGGGTGGGGTAGGGGTGGGGGGTGGGGTCGAGGTAGGTGGGGTAAGGGTAGGGTGGGGGTCTGTTAGGTAGGGTAGGGGTGGGGTAGGTAGGGTGGGGTCGAGGTAGGGTGGGGTCAGGGTAGGTGGGGTAAGGTAGGGTGGGGTCGGGGTAGGGTGGGTCGGGGTAGGTGGGGTTGGGGTCGAGGTGGGGCAGGGATAACAATAGGTTACGGGCAAGGGGTAAATTCGGAAACTGAAAAAGCTTAAAGTGCCGCTTAATTAATACATGGGGGGGTGGTATGCTTAATAAGCGGCACTTTAAGCACCTCTTTCGGTTAGTAAGCGGCTTTTTAAGCAGTGTGCGTGTTTACTTCACCTGTCTTACTAACCTAACTGTGACTTTAGCAGTGAAGTAAACACCTCCTTAGAGTTTGAGCCCGTTTGATAATACTCAAATAGGCTATATTTGCTGATTCTGCTGAAATTTATGAACTTTTGGTCGAAGTGGCTGGATTGGCTGATTTTGCTAATTTATGAAAAAATAATATTTAAAATATATTTTATTAATAAAATAAAGAAAAAATTATATGAAAAACTGCTAAAATGATCATCTACAGTAACTTCAGCCAATACATCCAAAAATTGATTTCATCAACTTTACCTTTTCTTATTATTACACAATTCAGCGTGCGAAATCAAAAGTTACGTGTTTAGTGAAAAAAGTTACTCATAATCCCGATAAGCCGAAAAATAGGGTCACCTAACGGGCTATTCATTTGTAGCTTATTGTTTTTTTAAACTAATAACCACACATTGTTGTAATTTATTTATTAAATAATGGATGTGGTCGTTTGTTTGAAGATATTAGCTCTTCTAAGATTTAGAATTGAGCAAACTAGTCCTAACTCAATCTTTGAGAAACAAGCTCGGAATATATAATTTTGTGATATTCTGATTTCAATGAAGGTCATGGCGGTCACAACAGGCTGGTTGCAAAACACGAATGGTGATGGTGGATTTAGTTTCCGTTAGATTGATTTAAAATAAGTGTTATTGAACGAAGAAGATTAGTTGAATTTAATCTATAAAAAGATCCTCACATCAAGTGGCAAATAATAATTGAAACATAAGCATATCAAACTATGTCCCATATTTAGAAAAGAAAAATGATCTAAATATTATGACCGAATAATACTATATTAATGTTACATCCATGGGTAAAATAATTACTCTTTATACACAGTCTAACTTATTTATCTAGCTCTTAAACGCCACTTTCAGAATTACAATATGATTCCTATATATGTAATTAATAAAGCTTTTACGGATCTCAAACTCTCGACAAAAAAATATCAAGATTTATGTTGATATTTAACATATACACTAAAGTAAATATAACTTTTACTTTCGTAGATCAGATAAAAGAAATTGATTCCAATTGAAAATATCCTTAATTAGAAAGGTGAACACAAATTTGAAAAAGCATTAAGACAAATGTGTATTTAGCAAATGTTAGCACATGCATGCAGTCTTATTTTTTACCCAGGTAAAAGATATTTTTATTTTTTTATTTTTATTATACTACGTAGAATGTAAGAATAGTATTTTATTATGACATCTAAAGAGCGTGAGTTACCGAAAAAGATGTTGATATCTAATTCAATAGTCATAGCACTTGGCATTCGTGTAAAAATACTGCGTAACATTTTTGGACATTAGCAATGATGTGATTCAATTAACTTTATTGATGCCATATTTGCTGCTCCAACCAAATAAATGATGAAGTAAAAAATGAATTTGTGCATATAAGAGTCTTTCAAGTGTAACATAAAGAAAAACACAAATAAAAATATTAAGCACAATCTAAATGACATTAAGTATATTTAATTGTGAAAGCAACCAATCTAGCATGAAAATTCAAAAGTTACATGTTTATGAAAAGGTTGTCTAATAAGATTTGATAAGTTGAAAATATTGGTTATCAAATGGGCTCTTAAATTTTTATAAACACGGAACTTTTGTTTTTTCACGCTTAATTGTGTAATAATTAAAATACATATGTAAGGTTAGATTTACTTTTTCTACTGAATTGACTGAAGTTATTATAGAAGATCACTTTACCTATTTTATATAATCTATCTTTCATCTATTTGTAAAATCAATTTTGAAAAATAGTTCTAATTATTACATAATTTAATGAGAAAAATCAAAAGTTACGTGTTTAAAAAAAAGTTGACTAATAAAAAAAAGTAAAATCTTCTTAAAGTTTTCACTTGACGTATTGTCTTTAGCATTTTTTTCAATTATGAAAAACTCTCAATGTATGCATGTTTTGAATAACTTGAAATACAATATGAATATTAGTAAGTAATTATTCAAAAAAAAACTATGCCTTAAACATCCCTCGTGATAATCAAAGCAAAAATACAAAGATTTCAAATCAAGTTATTATAATTGTTATATATAAATTAGAAAAGTATCATATAAATATGTTTACTTTAAAAATAGCGTCAATCAAGTTATTATAATTGTTATATGTAAGGTTATTTAAAAAAAAGTAAATCAAACGATTGCTTAATCTTATAAAAAATCTTATAAATTTGAAAAATATTGTAATAATAATAATATAAAATCAATATAAGTGTAAAAATAGATAAACATTTTTAACATTATTAAAACAAAAAATAAAACAAAAACATTACTATAATTTTCATTCAAAATAATTTCATATTTGAATAATCGTTGATCAAAATTGATAAACTTTGAAAAAAATGTCAATTTGACAAACCTTTTTGGAAAAGGGAGAGTATCTAATAAGATCATAATGCCCACTATATATATATATATATATATATATATATATATATATATATATATCTAATAAAGATAAACTAAACATCATTATTGTTGCCCGAAGACTCACCGTTGTTTCCATGCAATCTATTATCGTCGCGTCACCACTATTGAAATCTAAGGACCACAAAACTTTTTATAAATCCAAAAGGTAAATCATCAAAATAAATGCGGCAAGTGCAGACTCGTGATCGTCATTTATTAAGTATTATAAGTAACAAGAAGATATTTACATGGGGATAAAAATGAAAGCGTACAATTTGAGATGGTAAAATGCAAAAATGAAAACAGTAAATAAAGACGTACAAAATATTCTCATTAAGTCTATTAAGCCTTTTATAATGACGAAAGTTTAGTAAGGATTGAAAAGATGATGTCACTGTTCAATCCTTTGATCAGATGGCGAACTATCAAATACTATCGTATAAATTGAGCTACAAGGTCTACATCTTTATTCAATCATTCACTCATTTTAGATATATATAAAAATGTATTTTATCTCATGCACGACACGGTAATAAAAACTAGTTTTAAACATATTGTTTAAAAAAATGTGTAGTTCATTCAGCTTTTTTACGGCGGTTCGATATTTTTTATTTCGGTTTTCGATTTTTCTCTTCGAAATGCGTGCCCTACTTAAGCATGGGTGAAGCAACCCCATCGACGACAGGCCTATTAGATTCCAACGATCGCCCCCTCTTCAATTTCAACTTGCGACATGTACAATCGGCTGTCCGGTAATAGGCATAATTCGGAACGGCGGCGCATGAACCCAGCCGCCGGAAGAGAGAAGGCGAAAGTATGGAGACGGAAGGTCGATCGCCCGGAAAAGACTCTGTTTCTTCTATCGACAAATCATCTCTTTGTGATAGAGAACATCGAAAATGGCATTGAATCAAACTGTTCGGTGACGGAGCTGCCAAATCGCTCTATGGGTATGCTGGAATTGGAGTCCAAGATTTTCTTGGTGGGCGGTGAAAATAAGAACCAATTCGGTTGGAATACTCATTTCGATGACGCCTTCCCCAGAGAAATCTGTGAGGTGAAACAGCATTCCGATTCCGTGTCCATTGTTCCTTCGACAATCATGCCAAAGATGAACGAGGGGAAGTTACATGCAATTGTCCAAAAGTTTGGAAGCAAGATATTTGTGCTGCATAGGGGCCCTATTTTGAAGTTAGACGAGTTGACTAGGAGATACTCAACTAGTGTTTTTGAGTGTTTCGATTCTGCTTTTCCAGAAAACGGTTGGGTTGTGAAATCAGGTATACCCTTTTATGAGGGTGTCTACCCCCAGGGACGGTATGTCGTGCATGGGTTCTTTCTAATAGGGGAGAAGCTCTACTTGAACGTGAGTTGGAAAGGATATAGGTATTATGTTTTTGATTTCAAGACAGAGGAATGGTCCAAGGATGACTGTTTTTTTGTGGGAAAACATAGGTGTCCTGGCCGTCCAAAGCGTGCTGTCTCAGCTCCTGGTTTAGACGATGACACGTATATCATTTTTGGATTCCATAATGTGTACTTTCCAGAAGTTCGAGCTACGCTTTTCACGCAAGGAAAAGGATGCTCCTGTTATCAAGATGTGGACGGAAATAGAATCTTCAACTTGCAAGGATTGGGAGGAGACACGATGGGCTGCGATTTTGTTGAGATAGGAAATGGTGACTACTTTGGCCTGCTGACAGCTAGGGAATTCAAAACAGGTGACTATTATCTTCTTGTATCAACCTTCTCAGTTAAGGTACTGGCTGCTCGAGTGCCACCCATCGAATCCCTCGATAAGCCTATCAAAATGACATTCTTAAGCATTAAGTGCAAGAACCAACAGAAGTTCAACATCACTGCTGTTAATTTCTGCTATATTGCTGGAGCTGCATGTCTTTAGGTATGGTTTGCATCTCAGTTTCTCTACATCTTTAACCCTCGCACTGTTTCTCTTTGAGCATCTATTTGTGGTGCCTATATAATGCAGTATGAGTTATTTTGAACTCCTTAAGTGTGGATTTTGTGTTCATTAATGCTATCTTTTAAATGAGTGCTGGTTCTGCAACTGTCTTGCTGGTCCCTTTATGCTGCCCTGCAAGGTTATGGCCATGCTTAGTTATTTAGTTCCTTTTATCTATGTGTGACCGGCTAGCAGAATCTTTTAAGCTTCAATTAATTTCTATTATCCCTGTCTTTATATATGAGACCAAAGAGATGATCCATTTTTTAGTGGAACCCTATACTACCATTCTTCACGCTGCCACCGTTAGTTATCTATTTATCTACTCATCTATCTTAATTGACAATTTCCAGTTTCAACTGTGATGAAATCCTGTGTACCATATTTCTTATCACTTCAACCATACGATCCTAAAATAAATCTTTAGCTCTTGTGAAAAGATCGTTCATTCCTTTTTTCTTCCCTCACCGCATGTTGTCGTTCACTCCTTTTCTCACCACCGCCGACCATCCGAGTTCGCTCCATTCCCAGATGAAAATAACCTCAATAACACTTCTTCTTCTTCGCTCATCGGGGAATCCATCCGAGTTGAAAAGCTAGAGAAGCAGTTCTTCTAATTCACTCATCGGAATCTATCCGAGTTGAAAAGGTCGAAAGCAATTCTTCTTCTAATTCACTCATTAGAGTCTTGAAAACCTCAGAAGCTCTCACATTCCAGGGCTCGGCTGAATTTCAATTTTAATCCCCATATGATTCTATATTACATTCATGTGTTTGGGGGAGTATACTGTCTTCTTCCTTTCTCTTCTTGATTTCAAGTTGAAAAGTTATGGAAATGAAGAATAAGATATTAAGATGGTTGCTCTCCCTTTAGATGTCATCAGTTTTCCTGCTATTTTCCCCTTTTCAAGGTCAACTAATCCCTCTTTGCTCCTTTATTCGAATTTAAACTTTTATAATTGATTATTGAGCTGGATTCCTATTTGATTTCAGATTGTCTCAGACACATGATGATCTTCTGCTACAACATCAACCAAGTAAAATTGAGGTCTTTTTAGATTCATATTCAATATTCATTATTTAATTATTCATCATCTTTAAATAGAATAATTGATTCCTTCTATATTGCTTGATTTGATTAGTTTTGCTTTCGAATCCTATCTTTTACATTGTGAAGAATGGACATGTGATGTTAAAACCAAAGTTTTGTTGTTGTGGACTTGTGGGCCTTATAATTTATTAGATGTAGATATCAATTAAAGATGTGAGCCTTTCTTTGCGCACTCAATGTTGATAGAGTGCAAAGGTCTAAAATTTTATAGGCGATTTTCGAGCTGCAGCTGCCACAAAGCTGCAATTTTGTCGCAAACCATGTTTTGTTAATCTATATACTAGAGCTCCTTATGTATGGATATATAATTACCAAGATGCATTTCAGTTTTCAGCTCAAAGCAAGAGTGCATATCCTTTCAAAAAAAATCACAGTTATTCCTACTCTTCTAATTTACTGTGCATAAACATATCATTATACATTTCAATAAGTTATGCAGCAACACCAGTTAGGAATCTTAGGGTGCATGTGCCTATCAATATAATTATTCTTAGGGTGCATATTAGAGTCTTTAAAGAGTACTTAGTGAATTGATATCTAAACTATGATATGCTATCAAGTGGGAAAAAAATAGAAAGTTGAGATTTTAAATTACAAACCTCAAGTTTAAAGCTGTTACAACAAAGTCATTCTTATGGCTAAATTCTAGAATGGGGGAAGAAGTAAATGGTCATGTGATATACTTCATAATGTATGAAGCCCAAAATGAAAGTTAAAGCAAGAACTGAAATCAATTTTGTCTAGCAGGACTCAACTTTACACATATTACCTATTTAACACATTTCAGCAACCCAGCAGTAAGATTAAGATTTAAAAATTTTTAAGCTGACATCATATGTGCATTGTTTTCTTGATGCAAAGAGTTAATTGTCCAGAGCTCGGAGAAGCACACTCAGCAACCCAAATACGCTATCACAACAACTAAATTTTTAAAAGTTTTTCAAGATATTCTTACAACACATATTGTTTGGTTATTATTTTTATTCTTACTGTTTGGTTTTACACTTGCTGTTTGGTTATTGTTTTTAATGTATAAGAAATCATACTAGTATATTATAATCTCTAATCTTATCAGTATTTGTTTAGAAGTGATGATGGAATCTGTTTTTTATTACTAACTTTGTTCTATTTCTGACTTGTAAAGGAATTTGTTCCTAAAAAGGATTTGTTCCACCTGCACATAATTATTTCACCACCCCCTTTCACCGCCTCTTTTAGGGTTTTACTTTCCACTTCAGTATCACTGTAAAATTGAAATATCTTTGTTAATTGTTATCCACTATTCTTGGTAACAATACTTTATTTTCTGATATTACTTAAAATTTCATATTTTCCTCAAAAAAAACTATGTGCATGAGATTTAATTTTGAGTAACTAATTAAACATTTTTGTTAGGATAAACATAAATTAACTTTGAGAATTTCATAATAAACTTTTTCAGTTTTGTTCTATTCATTTGGGTTTTCAAGTTACGAGTCCTCTTTTTAAAATGAAGATGTACTTGGATGAAGATTTTTGGGTAAGATCAAAGAATATTTTAGATTAGGAATATCAAATATTTCAAGCTAAAAAATGTATTGGAGTATCAATTTTAAGTAATGAATTCACCATTTTGGTTTAGGTAGACAGGAATTAACTTTGAAAGATTGTTTCGAACTCATTCAATTTTATTGTGTTGATTTGGGTTTTCAAGTTTGGAAGGACATTGATCATTCTATAATTGAAATTTCTCTAATAAAAATAACATACTTTAGTATACTAATGGACACCATCAAGTTTTAACTTTGATAAGAATATTGCTACTCAAAGTATGCATCAGTATGACTGTTAGTTTCAACTTTGATAAGATTATTGCTACTCAAAGTATGCATCAGTATGGCTGCTGGGTTGCATCATTGACAGAGGGCATCGTATGTTTTCAACCAATGGGGGTGAGCTCATAAATAGAAGGAAACTTCGCATTTTTTTTAAAGAAGGTGGTGTAAATTAATATCACATCATTTAGATAGAGGACAAATAGATAAAAGGATCATTCTCAACCATCAGTCCTCGAACTAAAATTAGAGTCAATCATCTTTTAGAAAGCAATATGACTCGATGATCCTGTGATGGGCCTAATTGAGCCAAACTCATTAAAACAGATCTCTCATCACCCAACTCTAATACAAGAGTTTAGCAAAACGAAAAGTAAAACGCAACAACAAAATTAGTCTAACCCAAACAAAAAGAGAAAATGATCAAAATGCTACATGAAATTGTTTCAAGTGGAGTAAGTACCTTCATCTTACACTTGAAATTACAATTTACAAAGTACATAAACTTCCATTTTTAAAGCCGATTAAGTACCTTTGCTCTATTAAAATGTTAAAATAGCTGATTTGGCCAAACTATCGATTTGTAATATATCGCTCTAGGCCAACTCATCAAATAATTAATCTATAAAATCCAATTTCCATCAGTTCACTCAATTCCATCCCTGCTCTTCATTTTATCTCTATGAAGTTGCAAGAATGTTTTAAATTCGTAGCTCGGCACATGGATTGGGCCAATTCGCCCACGATACATCAAAATCCGTAACATCCCAGTTCATCCACCAAACTACGACTCATTTTTCTATAAAAAGTACAAAATCATACGGAGTAGTAGATTATACTCCCTCCGCTCCATTGGACTTTGCCAATTTTCCATTTCTGGTCCCAAAAAATTTTGCCAATTTCCTATTAAAGCAATTAATTAGTAGTTCTGCACATTTCTCTCTCCTATGCACAAATCTCAGAGCAACCCCAACGCTAGTGTTTCTAGTTTTAGAAAAACATGACAATTGTCACATATGTAAAACACTTTCTAGTCCACGTATTATGAAGTGGAGTGGTTACATATTGGAAGCCAAAAACTGCTTCCAATGTATGCAAGTCTCGACCATCTCGCCTCACGTAGAGGAATTGATATATTAAATTAAATTAACCGTTTTCTTCAGTTTTTGTGAAGTCGTGCCTATATTTTTGTCTAGTCAGCAAGTTTGGGCTGCTTTCTACGCTCAAACATTGGCCTTCACAGTGTTTAAGTTTTTTTTTTGCCATGTCATCAAAAGACTACAAGCATTGGAGGGATAAATAGAAACACAATGTCTAATATTAGTGATCTGGCACACTATGCGTACAGTAGACAGGCAGCGTTGAGGTTGCTCTCAACCACACAGTTTTTACTATTCTTATTTTTCACCTACCTTGCACTTGGCAAAGTCCACCGGGACTGAGAGAGTACTTACTTTTTAAACAGTTTTTATGTAAAAATATACGGAGTACTTCGTAACTATGAAGTGGTTTATATAGAAAAGTGGGATAAAATGTAATGTGACTATGTCCTATTTTATGGTATTAATAAAAATCACCACCACAATAATTATAAAATTTTTAAACAAAAATTTAATGTTTAATTTCATTATATTGAAATGAAAACATTAGCATTTTGACATATGAAAATAAAATTATAATAATAAGGATGTTTTTACTTGAATTGTAATGTGCTAGTCTGGACTGGACTAGTCTGGTTTCTTTGTATTTTTTTATAACTCTCGAATTCTGGTCTAGTCTGGGACATATTACAGTCCAAGTAAAAACATCCTAAAACATTTAGAGTGCGTTTGGTAGTAAGGATGGAAAGTTATGATTGAAAAAGTCAGGGTTCGACATGGTCAAGAATATTAGCAAATTCTATAATGTATTTGTGAGATTTCTTCAATTCTAAGGTTAAAGTCATTTGGTACCATGATATTTTGAAATGGTAGAAAAATGATGTAATACAATGACAATCTAATCCTTTTTTAGGAAAGTAGATCATAACAGCCAATTCACCTTAAATGTTAATAAAAAGCCACACAAAGAGCATACTAAATGCCTGGAAAATTGCAAGGGCTTACATTTTGATTTAACTTTTTAAACATTCAAAGAGTTTAACCCTTGTATAGTTGTATGGGAAGATATAGCAAAATGATGATATATGAGATGCGTATCATCAACTTAAGTATTTAATTAGTGTAACTTCCTTGACCCACAAAGTTCCAAATTCCATCGTGAAAACATTAAATGAATATCATCAAACTATTGCATATATTGTCTAATTACTCCATATAAAATATGACACCTTTCTTCTTTATTCCAACTTGAATATTTGTTCTAATTTATACTTGCAATTTGGGAGCTAAGATTTAAACTAGATTGTTGAGTTTAATCCAACACGATATAGTAAATATATGTATAAATGTGTATGAACAAACTATTTTTACGTGGAAACCCGAAAGGGAGAAAACCACGGGACTTTTTAGGCTAATGTCCAAGCCCTCTCCTTCTCATTAATCTCTCCTCACCATTACAAAGTACAAGGTATTGAGCTCCCATTAATGGAGGATGAAGCTAGCTATTCTATTCTAGAAAGAAGGAAGAAGACAAGATCCCTAATATGGAGGGAAACCCCCATATTTATAGAGAATAGGGGAAGGGGATGCTCTCCACCCTAATGGGCCGCATGGGCCGGAGTGGGCCCAAATGGCTAAAGTGGGCCGGATGGGCCGAAATGGGCCTAGCTGCTCGGGCTCCGTACTACGTAAAGCCTTGGACTCATGAACAGTAATAGGCCGGGATAATATATCCCAACACAAGTCCCCCAGTTTCTTGAGTAGTGAGCTCGCGAATCTGCTCGAGAAAATATACTCTGCCTGCGCTCTTCCTCTGTCTTGCTGGAAACTGTGTCTTCACATAATCATCATATATGAGTGAGTGTCTGCACTCCTGAACGTAATCTACCAGTGAGGCACCCCCCTTCCTGACAGGGTCGGGCGAAGGGTGCTCCTCCACGGGCACACTCCCCCTGAATGCATCAGGCGGGAGTAAAGAACTCTGACTCGAGCTTTCCAATCGGAGAAGCTTAGAGGTCCATCATCTATAAACCGACGTCGCGGTACTGTCAAACATGATGCACGTGTGTATGTATGAATGTATGAGGTATGATGCATGAATGTATGTATGCATGTAATGTATGTATGTAATGTATGAGAGAGGGAATGCAAGATGTGATAGAAGCAGTAGCTCTCATCGATAACCCGGGCATGTCAGCACCGAGAAGCAGACGCGCTGCGCAAGACGGGTCCCCCATCCGAGATGGCATGGGCGGAGCCGAAGGTGGACTAGACATGATGCCGCCGAGGGGCCAATCATGCTGCATACGACGGGTCCCCCATCCGAGATGGCATGGGCGGAGCCGGAGGTGAACTAGACATGATGCCGCCGAGGGGCCAATCGAGTTGTATAAGAGATGTTCGTCGCCATCCTGGAAGGGATGGGCGAGCCGAACACGAGCCAGACACTAGGGCTGAGCAAAACCCGAACCGACCCGCAAAACCCGAAGTTTTTTTCGGATATTATCCGAACCGAAATGGATATCCGACCCGAAAAACCCGAAACCGAAAATCCGATTAGTATTGGGCCTAGATCGGGTGGCGGGTAGGGTTTGTATAATCCCAACCCGACCCGCCCGAATATCCGAAATATATTAAATAATTTAGTGTGTACTTTGAATATGTTAAGTTAATACTTGTGTTCAATTATTTGTGTAATTATTTGTGCAATTTGTGTTAAATTATTTTTGTAATTTGAATGCGTAGTGCACTAGTGTGTACAATTTTTGTCAAAGTGACATTCCAACACTTTAATTATCCAATTATAATGTGTTTTAATATAACCGAAATATTCGAAATATATTAAATTATGTAGTGTGTACTTTGAATATGTTAAATTAATACTTGTGTTCAATTATTTGTGTAATTATTTATGCAATTTGTATTAAATTATTTGCGTAATTTGAATGTTTAGTGCACTAGTTTGTAGAATTTTTGTCAAAGTGGCATTCAAACACTTTAATTATCCAATTATATATATTTTTAATATAACCGAAATATTCGAAACCCGATCCGATATCCGATAATATCCGACTTACAAATATCCGAAAAACCCGATTTGAAATATCAAAGGGTCGGGCCTAGTATTTAACTTAAAAAACCCGAACGGGTTTAGGGTACGCAGACCCGACCCGCCCGAACCCGACCCGTGCTCAGCTCTACCAGACACGATGGCGCTGGGGCGCTGATCGTGCTGCATATGAGACGTTCGTCGCCATCCTGGAGGGGATGCGTGATCCGATCGTGAAAGAGACACGATGGCGCTGAGGGACCGATCGTGCGGCATAAGACGGTCGTCGCCATCCTGAAGGGAATGTGCGAGCCGAACCGTGAAGCCAGGTACGATGGCGCTGAGGGGCCGATCGCACTGCATAAGACGTTCGTCGCCATCCTGGAAGAGATGCGCGATCCGAACGTGAAAGAGACACGATGGCGCTGAGGGGCCGATCGCGCTGCATAAGACGGTCGTCGCCATCCCGGAGGGAATGTGCGAGCCGAACCGTGAAGCCAGGTACGATGGCGCTGAGGGGCCGATCGCACTGCATAAGACGTTCGTCGCCATCCTGGAAGAGATGCGCGAGCCGAACCGTGAAGCCAGGTACGATGGCGCTGAGGGGGCCGATCGCACTGCATAAGACGTTCGTCGCCATCCTGGAGGGGATGCGCGATCCGAACGTGAAAGAGACACGATGGCGTTGAGGGGCCGATCGTGCTGCATAAGACGGTCGTCGCCATCCCGGAGGGAATGTGCGAGCTGAACCGTGAAGCCAGGTACGATGGCGCTGAGGGGCCGATCGTACTGCATAAGACGGTCGTCGCCATCCTGGAAGGGAATGGGCGAGCCGAACCGTGAATCTGGACACGATGGCGCTGAGGGGCCGATCGTGATGCATAAGACGTTCGTTGCCACCCTGGAAGGGATGGACGAGCTGAACGTGAGCTGGGTACGATGGCGCTGAAGGGACGGTCGTACTGCATAAGACGGTCGTCGCCATCCTGGAGGGAATGGGCGAGCCGAACCGTGAACTGGGTATGATGGTGCTGAGGGGCCGATCATACTGCACAAGACGGTCGTCGCCATCCTGGAGGGGATGGGCGAGCTGAACGTGAGCTGGGTACGATGGCGCTGAGGGGCCGGTCGTACTGCATAAGACGGTCGTCGCCATCCTGGAGGGAATGGGCGAGCCGAACCGTGAACTGGGTATGATGGCGCTGAGGGGCCGATCATACTGCACAAGACGTTCGTCGCCACCCTGGAAGGGATGGACGAGCTGAACGTGAGCCGGGTACGATGGCGCTGAGGGGCCGGTCGTACTGCACAAGACGGTCGTCGCCATCCTGGAGGGGATGGGCGAGCCGAACCGTGAGTCTGGACACGATGGGGCTGAGGGGCCGATCGTGATGCAGGAAAATAGTGATGATCATCTCATGGCCCTCGGCCTGTCGGTGAGTGGTAATCGTCTCGCGGCCCTCGGCCGTGCTGGTGATGTGTCAAGTCTCTCTCCTGATTGGCTGTGAGAAGCCGATCGTCTGTCAGGACTCCATCCGGGAAGGAATGGTGAGCCTGAAATAAATCTGGGTGATGTCCCTCCCATCTGATCTGAGGAGCTAGTCTTCGTTCGTCTACCGTATCCGTGGTCCTATGTACGGACCGCTAAACGGTGTACACTCGGCACGCACAGACTCCGGTAAAGAACTGGTCCATCGTGTCTGATCCATGGAGCTGGTCTTCGTTCGTCTACCGTATCCGTGGTCCTATGTATGGACCGCTAAGCGGTGTACACTCGGCACGCAACAGACTCCGGTAAAGAACTGGTCCGTCGTGTCTGATCCATGGAGCTGGTCTTCGTTCGTCTACCGTATCCGTGGTCCTATGTATGGACCGCTAAGCGGTGTACACTCGGCACGCAACAGACTTCGGTAAAGAACTGGTCCGTCGTGTCTGATCCATGGAGCTGGTCTTCGTTCGTCTACCGTATCCGTGGTCCTATGTATGGACCGCTAAGCGGTGTACACTCGGCACGCAACAGACTCCGGTAAAGAACTCGATCTTTGTTCTTCCCAAGTCTCGTGAGTACTGGTCTCCTGGTTTCGCAGGAGACGTTCGTCATCCCAACTATGAGAAGAAACAGGTTTATCCACGTCGGGATTCCCAATTCTTCGTTCGTCCCTGTCGTGGTCCTACTAATCTTCTTACTTCGAAGAAGACGTTCGGTCATCCAACGATCGCAAGGAGGAACAGGTTTATCCACGTCGGGATTCCCTATTCTTCGTTCGTCCCTGTCGTGGTCCTACTAATCTTCTTATTTCGAAGAAGACGTTCGGTCATCCAACGATCGCAAGGAGGAACAGGTTTATCCACGTCGGGATTCCCTATTCTTCGTTCGTCCCTGTCGTGGTCCTACTAATCTTCTTACTTCGAAGAAGACGTTCGGTCATCCAACGATCGCAAGGAGGAACAGGTTTATCCACGTCGGGATTCCCTGCTTCGTCGTCCCATGCTCGTGGCCCTACTAGCCTTCTGCTTTGGCAGAAGGTGTTCATCGAACCACGGGTCATGGGAGGAACTGGTTTATCTTGCCGGGGTTCCCTTTGGTACGTCTAGCCCCCCCCACGTTCCTACTAGCCTCCGCGTCGGGAGACGTTCGTCATACGCGGTGAAGGAAGATCAGGCATACCTCGTCAAGACTCCCTCTCTCATAGGATCTCGTCTCCCCTTCTCCCATCTTTTTTTTTTTTTTCTTTTCTTTTTTTTTTTTTTTTTTTTGAGGGAGGAAAATACGTTCGTCGGTTCCAAGGATAACCACAAGTGATGTCACACATAATGGTGGTGGGATGCAAAAATGAATAAAATGACGAGGCGATGGAATAGTTGGTCGTCATGCGAAGGCGATGGTCACTCTCCTGGAGGGGAGGGGTGAGCCCGATCGCTAACTCAAGAAGGTCGGCATTGGGAGCCGATAATGATCATAATGTCGCTGAGCAGTCGGTCCTGATAAGGAGATGAAAATAGTGTCCGATCAGGCCGATATATCCAAGCAACGGCTCTCATCCACGCAGCGCGGGGATGAAACCGGTCTTCAAAAGATAAATATGTCGTGCCGAGGGGCCGATCATAACATGATAGTGTCGGCAGTCAGAGGCCGACCTGAAAGAATCAAGCAATGGTCCTCGTCCGCGAGGGGCGGGGACAAGGCCGGTCTTCAAAAGATAAGCACGCCGAGCCGAGGGGCCGGTCGTGGTATAATGGTGTCGGCAATGAGCGGCCGATCTGAAAGAATCAAACAACGGTCATCGTCCGCGGTGTGGCGGGGACGAGGCCGGTCTTCAAAGATGATAATCACGCCAGGCCGGGGGGCCGAACATGATATGACAGTGTCGGCAATGAGCGGCCGATCTGAGAAAATCAAGCAACGGTCCTCGTCCGCGAGGGCGGGGACGAGGCCGGTCTTCAAAGATGATAATCACGCCAGGCCGGGGGGCCGAACATGATATGACAGTGTCGGGAATGAGAGGCCGATCCCAAAAATCAAGCAACGGTCCTCGTCCGCGAGGGCGGGGACGAGGCCGGTCTTCAAAAGATAGGCACGCCGAGCCGAGAGGCCGGTCGTGGTATAATGATGTCGGCAATGAGAGGCCGATCAAGTGTATCCGTGCAACGGCTCTCATCCGCGCAGCGCGGGGATGATACCGGTCTTCAGGTGATAAATACGCCGTACCGTGAGGTCGGTCGTGATGTAAGGATGGTCCCACGACCCTCGGCCGTAGTGGTCTCCTCTAGGCCACCGGCTCCTGGTGTGGAGATGCTCGTATCACGGCTCTCAGCCGTGATGGTTTCCTCTTGGCCCTCGGCCTCTGGATGATGGATGATCGTCTCACGGTTCTTCGTCGTGGCAGTTCCCTCTAGACCCTCGGCCTCTAGGTGTTCTTCCTAGGCCATCGGTCTCTGGGATGGAGATGCCCGTCCCGTGGTTCTCAACCATGGTGGTCCCCTCTTTAGCTGGCCCTGAACGTCTTCAAGACTCGGGCCAAGCGTCTTTTCATCATTTCGCTCGAGCGCGTCGAGTGGCTTCAGCTGCGCAATAAGCATGATAACGGGCCGCACGGCCCGACAATATGTATACACACATAACCATCTGCATGGCTTTCTTTTTAACACCCACGATTACCGGCCTATGGGTCATCGTGACCCACGGCCCGGCTCATCGTGCGGGGTTAAGGGACGTAGCAGCTCGCGGCGGGGCCAATTAGCAGCCCGCCGAACGTCACATGGAGATATTCTTCGGTCTGTGAGTTTTCAAACTCAGACCCAAGTTGGTCGCACTGCCCTCGGAAAAACGAGGTTGAGTGCTTTGGTGCCCTCGGGCCCCACAGGCCGCGTCTGGCAATAGTCACTTCGCGCCCAATGGCGTAGATGACAGTGGGGTACGATCGTCGCTCGGGCACGTAGTGCCGTGCGGACTAATGCGCAACCCTCAAATTAAAATGCGTCGTCGGGCTATCGCCCTTCTGGAGACGCTCCGATCGCTTAACCAAGCCGATCGAGGGTGGGCCAACGGGCCCACAAGAAATTAAATATTCAATAAAATGTTGGCTGAACCAACCATCACTAGAGCTTCGCTCCATATTATTTAATTCGGGACATTTTACCCCTAATAAATAATAGGGATTTAACGGCAATAGCAATGATGTCATCCTATCAAAGGCCATTCCGGTATGCTCCGTCCGCTAATTTAAGCCGATCAGGAGCGGGCTGACGGGCCCACAACAACCAGTCATTAAATTTAAATGACGGTGAAAACTAATTATCACAAAGAGCGTCGCTCGGCATTATTTAATTTCGGGAGGTTTTAATCCCTAATAAATAATGGTGATAAAATAATTTAACTAATGACAATACCAGTAATATTTCAAAACAATTACGGAGTATCAATTCAAAGTTCAAGAATAGGGCACTTAGCTTCAAAGATGTTTTCGGCCAGTGGAGTATTGTCAGGTTTGCTCCCTATTTTCTTCTTTCAATTTTGACTTGGTCAAAATCCATCAATCCATGTTCGCATATGTTTTTCAACCCGTAGAGAGACCTCATGCGGAGTATTCTGTTTAACTCCACGTAGAAAGTCCGAACTTAGACCTCATAAGGAAGCATCCATGTTCAATCCATGTTCGCATCTGTTTTTTTTTAACCATCTTTTAGTTCACTCCTCAAAATAAATTGGCCTTTCCATACTTGGCCTCAAACTTGCGGACGTGGCCCGCTTAGGTCCATAGCATTTCATGCGGAGTGCATCTCTTAGAAAGGGCAGGTGGAGCACCTTTCTACCAAACCAGACGCAGCCCGTTCGTGCCGGCCACCTTCTGCCGGGGGAGATGGGGTCGCAACGTTGCAAGGACGGCCAGAAAAGCTAATCCCCGGTGGAAGCTTAACCGAAATTGCTAAACCCCTCTTATGAGCTCGAAACCACCATTAATGGCGGAAACCAAGGACTCAAGGAGGTGTCTGGTTGGAAAATCCCCCGAGTTGGGTCGGCAGCGAGGTTGAGCCCTGAGCAGCGACTGTCCAGACGGAGGAGCGACCACCGTCTTTGATCTTCCGGCGGTGCGGCGAACCGCGGCTGGCTCGGAGAGCTCCTGACGTTACACGGCGGAGATTTGGCAGATGCTCCGGCGGCGGCGATGCTCTGGCGGCGGCAGATAAACAGAGAAAAATCCAAAGAGCCCAGATTTCCCATAATCATTTTCCCTCCTGCTTTCTTCCCAGAATCATTTTCCTTCGTTTTGTTGAGACCAGTTTGTCTGGTATCATTTTTTTTTTTTGTAAATCAGTTCGTCTCAGGTTTGTTGTTGAAGCTGAAGAACACGCTTAGTCTTTTTGAACTGATTCCCACAGACGGCGCCAGTGTTGAGTTTAATCCAACACGATATAGTAAATATATGTATAAATGTGTATGAACAAACTATTTTTACGTGGAAACCCGAAAGGGAGAAAACCACGGGACTTTTTAGGCTAATGTCCAAGCCCTCTCCTTCTCATTAATCTCTCCTCACCATTACAAAGTACAAGGTATTGAGCTCCCATTAATGGAGGATGAAGCTAGCTATTCTATTCTAGAAAGAAGGAAGAAGACAAGATCCCTAATATGGAGGGAAACCCCCATATTTATAGAGAATAGGGGAAGGGGATGCTCTCCACCCTAATGGGCCGCATGGGCCGGAGTGGGCCCAAATGGCTAAAGTGGGCCGGATGGGCCGAAATGGGCCTAGCTGCTCGGGCTCCGTACTACGTAAAGCCTTGGACTCATGAACAGTAATAGGCCGGGATAATATATCCCAACATAGATTATTTAAAATCCAAAACAACTAAAAATGATACCACAATTAGTCATATACTCATATTTATATATATAAGACGTAGTACATTACATTACTGAAAGTTAATAGTGATTAATTTTTATACCAAAACACTAGCATTCTTTTAGTTCATAGCACAACATATCATAAGTTCTCTAAAAGGAATGAATAACAGAATTTATATAAGCACACATTTAGCTGTTTTGTAACACATGAATGCATACTCTTGATATAAAAGTCTTGATCTAAACAAGAGATTTATTGGGCTGTAAAGAATATAAAAAATTCAAAGATATTAGTGCTGAATGGCCTAGTCCAGTATTATTTAGTTTTAAATATCTATGACCGTTCTCATACATGTTTTAAACAATACGATTTCGATTCGAGAAAAAAATCTATAGAATTATTTATATATTCGAAATATGGTTTGGTACCATTACGGGTCAATTTCCGTATCTTAATGTTTAAATTTAATAAAAAATTAGATGAAATCATATACTCCCTCCGGTTCACATTCTTCTTTACACTCACTATTCATGGATCAACTTAAATCACTCTTAATCTTTTACTTTATGTATCAAATTTTTATCGAATTTAAATTTTCTTGATCAGACTTTGTAGCGGATTTAATGTAATTTTTGAATATGTAAATTTTATTTACTAAAAACAATCTGAGTGTAAACAGAGATTAAATTGCTTTATAGTCGGTCAATCATTTTTTAAAGAAAAATGTGAATGTGAGGGAGTAACAAAGAAACGAGAGAAGAAAGCGGGGCGGAGTCATTTGCGACTACCACCAATCACATCGCTGGCCTTATAAAACTTTTACTTCTTCGTACTCCATAACATTTCCTGCTAAGTATATAACTCGACAAAGCTATTTTGCTTTGTTTGACCTTTCCCCCCTCCTTCCTCCATCTCTGTTCTTCCACCCGGACCCAAACCCAACATTCAAAATGCAAATTGCACATAATTTCAGATTCGGGAAGTTGCTGCCGGCGGTGCTTCTTCTGTCAATGTTAGTGCTCACCATCTCTGCAACACAGAATAACACGGTGGCGGTGGTGGACGCTGCGAAAAAACTTCCGTCATCTCCGGCCACACTACCACCGCAAAATCAAACGCAGGAATTTTCTTCAAGCAAGAGGAAAGTTATGTATAAAGGCAAGCCTAACCCTCTTCACAACCGATGAACCCGCCGGCCGGCCGGCCAACAGATGAAACAGGGATGTCTTTTGCTCTACCTGCCGGCCAGCCGATCCATCAATGGTTAGACTATGAATTTTTGTTCGATCTGGAAAATATACATTGTTCATTTAATTCTCAGTTGGGAAGTGATCATCCAGTTCCAGTTGCGTTCGGCGGAATTAGATTAGCTTGAGGAAACAGATGAAATTATTACCTAGCTCTGTGAATACGATCGATCTATCTGTGTATGATTCTTTTTTGGGAAAAGATTATTTGCTAATCCGTACAGGTTTCTTAATTTCTAAGGTTGAATGATGAATATTGATGATGAATATTAAAGGTTCTGGTAAATTTGCAGACTTGCTCTGCTTTTTCACATAAATAACTACCTATAAGTTTTTTTTTTTTTGAATAGATAACTCCCTATAAGTTGAATTAGGCTTAGGTATCTTTTTCTGGATAGGGTATCTTGGACTTGTAGTAGTGCCTTTTTTACTTGTTTCTACCAACAAATTAAAGTGTGTAGCTCTATAGTTACTTTATTGGATGTGCTAAATCATGAAATACTCGTACAGATTCTTACAATATTTTGTTCTACTACTTCAATACATATTGAATAGAGACATACAATTCAATTGAAATCCATTAGATGGGGCACATCAAAATATTATGTCACAAAAGATCAATAGGAGGGGGATCAGTTGTGTTATAAAGAGATAGGAAGAAATCGAGGAATGCATTATAGTACGGAAATGATATTTGTGGTTAAATGCGTTTTCAGACAGTGTTTGTGTTTCATTTCTTAGCAAAGTAGTCCTCGGGTGTTTTGATTTTGATATGTTATAACTGAGACTATTGCATTAAGAAATGAATCCCTGTCTAAAAACGTGCCCAAACATATGTAACTTTTCCATATTTTCCCATTATACTCCATATATTTGTTGTTGTTGAGATATTGAAAACCTTTGCACGTTGCTTATGTATTCAAATTTCAATGTCAAATGTACTATATATGACAACAAAGCTAAAGTAGGCTGGAATAATGAATATGCTGTATAGTCTTCTGAGGAAACTATCAGTTCTCTTTTGGTCTCTTTTGCTATTGATTCATTTGTTGTTTTGGAAGTAAGCCTCTTCCTTTCTTCCTTTTGGCCAAATCTCTTTGTTCCCTTTTGCACTGTCTTTTTGTTCTCATCTCGCATCCCCTCCATCTTTATAGTACATCCTTCTGCACCTTCATATTTCCAGATTTAATATTTTTTTATTTGTAATTTTATACTAGTATGAATTTGCGCACTTCAAATAAATTAATATTTATAATATGCGCAGTTAATTTTCGGCCTTCCAACAATTACATGTTCCAAGGACAGGCACTCCGAGACCTAAACTTTATCAAATTTGTTTCTTTATCCCCCATTTTTTCGTTTATTTTATTCGAAAGTAACAATATAATACTCCAAATGGTAGTACGGACTAAATTATTTCAATGAAAATGAAATTGTAGTGTTGTTTTATACTCGTATAAAACAAATCTTGTAACATATAAATTTTAATACTCAGTTCTAATATTAACATCTCAATGATTTTTTTTTCATTGATCAAATATTGAAATTTAGAATAAAATAATTTTGAAACAAAGGGAGTATTACTGGATTACTTCTCTTTTTTGTACTAGCATAAAAACCAAAATTTTAACTTTCTTTTTATTCAAGGCCGTCATGATCCGTTAGATAACTCGTGTTTGCTTTCATTCTCCATCTATGGCCTTTACATGAAGGCATGATATAACCCACAAATTAAGGGAAACTTTTTCTGGGGGCTCCACGACAAGAGGTGCAATTTTAACGACAAGGCGTGTACACACCAAGTAAAGTTGTTCTCTTTTACTCTATCTAACTTGCGGAATAAGCTATAAAAAGACTAACACACTTTTAAATTTGTTCATTCCTCAATTCTGTCAAGTGTAATAATCTTAGTGGACCTCATACTCACCTTATATACATGCCATTACCATACAAGTAATTAATAGAATAGAGATCTATTTTCTTATAATCTAAAGTGTAGATAATGTAAAAACATCTGCTCACTCTCCTTTTTTGTCTGTAACACAAATTTTTTTCCATTTCTAAATCTTCTCATCATATCCTCAATAATTCTGAAAATAATACACTATTACAACTACTTTTTTTTTGTATTCATCCTACATTCCATCACATTATTCTTCTATCTTCCCATCATACCCTCAATAATTCATATCCTCTTTCACTGTTCTTAATCTACCTACTTTTGAAATGGGAAAGTTTTTAAGTTACGGAGGTAATACCATATATATATATATATATATATATATATATATATATATATATATATATATATATATATATATATATATATATATATATATATATATTGCAAGAGGCATATATGCAACCCGTTTGATAATTGATAGTCCGATTTTTCAGCTTATAAGACTTATCATCCAACTTTTTCATCTAACGCGTAATTTTTGATTTCACACGTTAAATCGTGAAATAACAAGATAAAGTAAGATTGAATTTACTTTAAAATCTAATTATCAGCTACACCAATGCTACCTCTGAACCCAATTCAAGTTATTAATTTTCGTTCCGGTGGAATGGGGTTCAAAGATTATTACTTGTATGGTTACTAGATTTTCTCCCGTGCTTCGCACGGGATGCTTTTAATAAGCAATAAATTATTTGGGAATATATAGAAATGTTATGATAAAGATAACATGATACATATATTGTTTCCCCGTGCATCATTCGATCTTTGGCAATATGTGCTCCAAGTTTAGTCACCAAAATTTGTATACAATTGTACAATCCTAATTGTACAACCCGAATGAAAGATCTATATTTCTTGTAATCATCACAGACAACCTTACTTTTAGCTTCAGCTCATGACGTACTCGGTAAATTGGAACTTTCAATGTTTTTAAGAAATTGAAAGAGTTTGCATCTCATCTAAGAGGTCACTATCTAAGTTGGATGAATAAGATGAATTCGGAACTTAGATAAATACGTGAACCAGCCTGTAATTATTGACCTTATTAATTAAACTTCAATAGGAGCAAAAACATTTTGGAATTTCAAGTTGAGATTGGTATGACTTTATTCTCTAATTGGGTGAGTAATTACTATCTAGTTTGGAAAATATTTCAACTATCAAAGTAAAATGCAATTTTTAAATTAAAAGTCTTATAATGTCAAAATATGATATGAAGTACTCCGTAGTAAATAGAAGCAAAAACCTTTTTGAATTTCAAAGTAAGATCATTGTAAGTAATGTGAAACTTGAAACAATTTTATCCTTTAAGATCGTCACTAATATATCAGTTAGTTCTTCTACTTCTTCTTTTTTTAGATTTATTGGGATAGTATGATCCTTCTAATTAGCAATTTTATTGGTTCAATTTATTTAAGAAGTAAAATTGATTTTGTGATTTCCTTTTAATTAGCAGTTTTAGTTCCATTTTAATTAATAATTTTATTGAGTTTTCTTTTTAATTAGGATCGTAAAAAACATAGATATATATCCAATCATAATTATTAATAATAAGTATATATATGTAAACTATGAAGACCTTTTAATCCCATAACCTAATGACAATTACCATTTTACAATAATAGTTTATGACGTGCACTTTGTCACGGTGCGTCAAAATAAATTCAATACTAACACTTATACGTAGTATAGGGTAGTAGAGTTCGTATCCACAAGGAAAGGAATAATTCTCTTTTTAATAAAACTAGTAAATAAAAGGGGGGTTTTGGGATTGTATGATTTAATTTAATTAAATACAAAGATGAACAACTTATATGTGATTTAATTCAAAGATAAAAAGGGCTTGGCATTGCTACTTTCCACTTGTTGATATATTTTAGTCGATCATTGTTATATCTATAACTTATCCCCTCTCGAATACTCAATCGAGGAGTATATCCAATTCATCGAGGATAGTTATTAACAACGACCGTTCATTAATAACCCTTACTATTAGTCAAGTATAGAACACCGCCATATACCGACTTGATAGTAGCATTTAATCTCTTAACTCCTTGATGAATCAATTGAGATTGATAACCTCAACACAACGGTTTCGGTTTAACCAAAAAAATTAATCCCTCTTAAGTTTATTAACCACGACCGTGCATTAATAAACCGAAGTTACTTGTGAAACCATCAACGATTAACCATCGGTTCGTTGATCGTCTTCCTAGTAGTAATTAATGTCGAGATGTTAACTAATTGTCATCTTAGCAACACTCCCCAACATTAATATAGAGATAGATTAAGGGAAGAA